CATGAACTAGGATCATGCATGATTACGAACTAGCTTTTGTTTTGGCTCGAAGTACACTGTAAGTATTTATGCTTTAGCATACTGCATGTGTGTTATTGATTGCCATGAAAGCATGCTTGCCATGAGGCTAACTGCTTAGTTGATATAACTGCCTGAATACCTGTGGGTGAAGGTTGGATTATCTGAATTGGAACAATTCATTGAAATTCTCGATTTAGCCTACTTGCGAGTAGCAAACTTCAAACCATTTTCAACCAAATGAACATGCAATGTTTTGTTCCAATTTAGGCGATCTAGTCTATACTTGTATGCTGTGCGCATCACATAGTAATTCTAGCTAATAACCGGAATAAGAACACATGTGTTTTCAAAAACAAAATATCATGTTTTTGATAACCCTGTTCCGTAATATGCTAATTGGTCCTTAATATGAGTATGATTATGTGTTTAATATGATTTTGTTAGCCATTATGTGAAAATATGTGATTTTGAATTTCTGTCTGTTCACCGTAGAAATATTTGTTTGATTATCTGCTTTGGAAGTTAAATTGAAGGCCTTATTGGCCACAGAACCCGAAATTGATTACGCCATAGTGATTAGCGTTTTTTTTAGAGCCTACGGTGAAATTTAATTGGAAATTGATTCGGATCAAATTAATTAGATTAAAATGTTGGCTTAGTGCTCAAATTATTTAAATATTGGTTATATTGGTTAGTGGACTTATACATGAGAGGCCATATACACTCAAGCTCTCTCTTTAATCAACATTGGCTAATTTAACTCAAAGAAAAGAGGAGAGGGTCGGCTTAGAGAGAGAGAGAGAGAGAGAGAGAGTGTGTAGGAGATTGAGGTTTTGGTCTTGAGGCTTGGAGATTTTGGAAGATTACTCAAGAATTTGCTATAGATTGGAAGGATTGAGCCTCTAGGTAAATGAATCCATGAGTTTAATGTGTAATTTTGTGTATTCAAAGTGGATTAATGACCAAGAGTAAGAATTGAAAAGCAATTGAGTTGTTTATGTTGAATTGAAGGTCAATGTATGCATGCAAGTATATAATTGCTATGAAATTGCATAATCTAGCATGTAATGTGTGAATTGTGAAGAATTGAGCATTAAAGTATACATGCAAGCATGGTTTTATTGATTTTCATGTTTATGAGCATCATTGGTGCTATTTGAAATAGAAATGAGGTCAAAAATTGACATGCATGTTTGATTATGGAAGATATGAAGCTTGTGTAAGGTTTGAATGTATGAGCCTTGAGTTTACAAAGAAATGTAGATTAATTTGGATGAATTGGACCATGATTTTGAGCAATTGACCTCACCTTGCTTATATGCTCATATTATATAATGTGTTCGCATGTTTTGGAATCAAATTTATGGGTTTTGAACCTTGGAAGGTTGGATTTGAGCTCAAGAACACATTCTGGAAAACCCAGAATTCATGGTGTCCGCTCGAGCGGGGAGTCCGCTGCTCGAGCGTAAAATACGAGCTCCCAGCATTTTTTTGCAAACATGGCGTCCGCTCGAGCGGGAAAGTTCACGCTCGAGCGAGAAGCCATGTAGAGACGCCTTCCGCTCGAGCGTCAAAATTCACGCTTGAGCGTAAATTTCACATAACCAGTACTTTTGCAGGCCTCGAGGGTCCGCTCGACCGGGGAACCCCACACTCGAGCGGGGACCCTGTTTCTAAAAATTTTGTAAGATCGTTCTGTGTTTCGTTTTCCGTTCTTTTTCACTTGCAAGCACTCTTAGGCATGCATTAAGCATTGTAATTGAGTTAAAGAGATAAGAATGAAGCCTAAAGAGGAATATGTGAATTAAAGAACGGATTGAATCGTTTGTGACCCATATGTGTTATATGATGCGTACGGTCAAGCTCCATAGCAAATCCACAAGCCAATCACTATGAGTAATATCGATATTTTGAAGTTTATCAATTGTCCAATTGCTTATTTCTTTATAAGTTTACTAGTTTGAATTATGGACAACCGATTGACATGGATAATTGGGCCGAAGGCCGATTCACATGAATGGTTGGGCCGAAGGCCGATTCACATGAATGGTTGGGCCGAAGGCCGATTGACATAAATGGTTGGGCCGAAGGCCGATCAACATGAATGGTTAGGCCGAAGGCCAATTAACATGAATGATTAGGCCGAAGGCCGATTGACATGAATGATTGGGCCGAAGGCCGATTGACATGAATAATTGGGCCGAATGCCGATTGACATGAATAACTGGGCCGAAGGCCGACTGACATAAATGGTTGGGCTAAAGGCCGATAGATATAAATGATTAGGCCAAAGGCCGTCTGTTGTAACTGTTTCAATGATTGCTTATGTAACTTCTTCATTTGGTATTATTCACTGGGCATTCGCTCACGCTCATTCTTGTACATGTAGGTGAGCCAAGGGACGTCCAAAACCAGCCCCGGTGAAATTTTGAGAAACAATTGAAGTTTTGAAGAGTCAGCCCAAACGTCTCACGCATGAGACCCGTCTTCACCCTTTTGTTGTCTTGTTTATTTTGTCATGTTGGCGAGGACTTTGTATATACCTGTGCATAGTTTTGATGGGTTGACTTAGACTTATATGATCCTGTCTGTACAGAACTTATGCTACTGTACTTCTGTTGTGAGTTATTAATGTATATATGTTTGGTTGTTTGGATGTTCCATGTAAGCACAACTCTATGGACAAAGATTTGAATTGCTTCCGTTTGGCCCCTTTACTCTGATGAGTTTTTGCTTTATTTGGTTTGAAGCCGTAAGTAATCTTGTGATTACTGGCCGGTTATGGCCTTAACCCATAGGGGCGGGTTCGGGTCATGACAATGTTAGTAGCGACCGATCTTTGATCAAGCGAGCGGGGGTGCTCATTGCATGACCTTCCCTTCTCGTACCCATGTTCCCGAGCCGAGGCAACTTTGGTGATGATGGACACGTGGCCTTAGGCATGAGTCAGGGTTTTCTAAATTTCTCCCAAAACAAAATATTTAGGTGGCGACTTTGTATCTGGCAAAGCAATCCATATTTGGCACTTCTTTACAAAAATTAGTTTTCCAAAACGATTTGCCGGATTTGGACTCTTTGGTGATTTATCGGTCTTGCATTGCACTTTGCGAGATTAGATTCAGAATCGTGACATTGAGTCCGAAATGTAGTAGTCCAATGAACAAAACGGGATTTTCACGCCATTTCGCGCGCGGAGCCCGGGACGTTCGGGCGCATCTACAGTTGTCCACTTCCAGGTCACTTCAAGCTTAGTTTGAATCAATGTCCTACAATTGAGAAAGACAAGGAAGAGATGAAGAAAATTCTTTATGCTTCAGCAGTTGGTTCTTTGATGTACGCCATGGTTTGTACAAGGCCGGATATTGCTAATGCCGTTGGTGTGGTGAGTCGGTTTCTCTCTAATTCGGATAAAAAACATTGGGCAGCGATGAAGTGGATTCTAAGATATCTTCGAGGGACTTCGAACGTTTGTTTGTGTTTTGGGGATAATAAGCCGATGCTTGATGGGTTCATGGATTCTAGCATAGCTGGTGATGTTGATTCTAGGAAATCTATTTCGGGTATGTGATGACATTTGTAGGGGAAGCTGTGACATGGCAATCTAAATTACAAAAATGTGTTGCTCTTTCAACTATTGAAGCCGAATTTATAGCCATTATAGAAGCTTACAAAGAAGAGTTATGGTTGAAGAAATTTTTGCAAGAGTTGTATTCAAAGCAAGAAAGGTATGTGATTTATTGTGATAGTCACAGTGCTATTCATTTGAGTAAAAATTCTACTTTTCATTTGAGATCGAAACACATTGATGTGAGATACTATTGGATTCATGATGAGTTAGATTCGAAATTGTTATAACTCGAAAAGGTTCACATGGATGATAATATTCGGATATGTTGATTAAGATTTTGTTGAGGAACAAACATTTAAAGTATTGAACTTTTGCAGGTATGGTTGATGTCTCCACCTAAGTTGGTAGGAGAAAAATTGTTGGGTATACCTCCTTATTGGAGTATGAGACCCAATTGGTTTATTAAAAGAATTTAAGTTAGTTTGGTGTTGGTTATAATATACTTTTAACATATTACATTTGGCTTTTGAAGGCCCAATGAGTATTTAATAGTCTGTTTGATAACAACTAGAGGCTTGATAAAAATCTCAAGAATCAACAATATTTCTAGGTATTATTTTGGTTTTTTCTAGCGGTGCTATTGCTGGTATAATACCATATTATTCTTGACGGCTTCTTTGTGGCTTCATACAGTGCTCTGTTTTTGAAGGTTTTTGATTGCTCAATCAATCGATGAGTTGGTCATCTACTTGGGTGAGGTTTTTTGTCTCACGTGGTGTATGTTTCAAAGGACTGTTTGGGTTGCAGATTTGATATAATTTGATTGTCTTCTTCAACTCTATTTTGAAGACTTTTATTCATTTATTTGGTGAGGTATTTCTTTTTGATTATTTGTGATTATTTGAAATTCACCTAAGGGTAGTTTTGTGAAACCATTTGTGTCTTGTTTGTAATCGTTTGAAAACTTTTTGATTGATAGTGGAATCGGATTTCGATCCCGTGGACATACCTCACATTGAGAGAACCACGTAAAATTCTTGTATCGTTGTTGATTTAATTTTTTCGCATAAGTTTTTATTCCCATTGTGAGAAATCATATATTTATTTTCCCTAACAAGTTTCGATGTTGATTTTATTATTTTTATTTTTAATTTGTTTGATTTTGATATAGAAGTGTTAGTATTTTTATTATAAGGAATTTAATGATTTGTATTTTGATAATCCTTCCCTTAAGGAAACTTAAATATCATGATTATTGATTTAAAATATATATATATATTTTTTGTTTTTCATTATTTATTTTGTCTTTGTTTTTATTATCATCAATTCTATAGCCAATTGTACGTGAGGCATAAGAAAGAAAGGAAAAACAAAAAAGCTTTTGTGGCTGAGATTTGGCATGAGTTTTTGATAAGATTTGGTGGCAGGTTTGTCAAAGAGAAATGGTTAAAGCCTTGGCTTTGTTGAACAAACTTTTTGACGGATCTTTTGTGAATCTTCATTATGTCTAAAGCATGTGGAGTTGCTTGAAGATGAGTTGTCAGCACATGCACGAGCTTAGCCGAAAATGGTGGACAACTTTCAGATGGTAGGAAATGTTATGAATACTCTATTTTTTATTAAATAAATAATTAAATATTTTATATGGGCGTGGAGTTTATTTTTTGGTATACTTCACACTTATATAAAATATTTATTCATTTATTTAATACACAATTTAGAATCTATAGCATTTTCTAATTTCAGAAGCAAAAGTATGCAAAAGCTGCTCAGAAACCCAAGTGATCGCACCCGCGATGTAAAAGTTTCAGCTCTCAGTATTTTTTCACTACAACCCACGAAGAACAATCGCGCCCGCGAACTATGATTAACGCACCCGCGATTGCGACAACCGCTCTCGCGAGAATGCCCCGTCTCAGATTTATTTAAATGACACTTTGCTGAATTGTTTGGGTATCCCTCCAAGATCATTTTGTATCTCTCAGCACTTTTTCTATATCTCCTAAACCTCTCTAGAACTCAACATTAAATCATAGTGTTTATTTTGAAAAAAATATATTTTTGAGCCAGTTTATTTTTGAGAGAGTACTTGTAGTGGGGATTCTTTATATATCTCATTTACTTTATGATTCCTTAGTCTCTAAGAGTTTCAAGATAATCATCAAGCCTTTTGTATATAAGTTGTAACAACCCTCACTTTACTCTAGTCATGCTTGCATATATTACATGATCTTGTCTTGATATGTTGCATTTGCAAAACCTTGATTTGTCTTGCATAAGTGTTACTTGCATGGTTTGTTCCTTGTTTAGTGTGTGTGTTTAGCCTAGGTTAATCCAAACCGAGGTCACCTTAAGCTTAGAACCATCTTGGAACCACTTTGGTTGACCTCCACCTTCACTATGGCATGTTGGCCGAGATGTCATCATCTAGGCCGAAGTGTTCATCACCAAGGCCGAGATGTGTGTTATCTAAGCCGAGATGTTACCTTTGCGCCTAAGTGATCTTGTTCCTGGATTGGTGCGACCTAGACCGAGGTGTGGCACATCTAGGCCGAGGTGTGGCACAGCTAGGCCAAGTGTTATCCTTCTTAGCCGAGATCATTACCTGCCGGAGTGCTTACGCCATCTTGCTTGTTGAACACACTTTGTCATAGTCTTGTCTTTTCACTCAGTCACCTTTTTTAGAAGAACCAACCAACCGTTGCCACGTGTCCGAGCTGAGTGTTAAATCAACCGGCAGAGAGAGAAATGCATCATTTTGTATCATATCTTGTTCTTGAGGAGAGAGGAGTTCTTAGAGGAGGAATAGATTTCCAAGCTTGATCCTTAGAGTTCAAACCGTTTGATTCGTGTTTTGAGGTTAGAATCTTAATCTACTCTTGTTATTCTTATTGATCATCTAGCTGCATTGCATGATCGAACCTGATTTGCAAGCCATGCATTGATTTAAAGTTGGGTTTATAAAGAGAAAGTGGTATTCGTGTGTTCTTGAAGAAAAAGCCTTGTTTGATCCGAAAGTTTGCATTAAGATTCATGTTTTTGTGTTTGTTTTCATAAAATCTTCGAGTATGGTGCCCAAGTCCATGTTTTTGAATTCATAGCATGAAATCTCAGATTTTGCAATAACAAGTTATGCTCTTTGCATTCATGTTTTTCATGTTCTTCAAAGAAAGGGAAACCCAGATTTTCTCGACTTCGTTTCCTTGAATGTGGCCATCGGGACCACACCTCGACAAGAAGGTGTGGGACCTCGGCCAAGATCTGGTTGGTGCCCATTATGTTTTCCCGAGATGAGGAACAATGTTTTGTTTTGGTTTGACTTAGTTTTGAAGGAATGCTGAAATCATTTGCATTCGTGTAAAGCTTGTTTGAAAGTGCATGTTGTGTGCTTGTAGGCCTTGGATCCTTGCTTGTAACCCCGACGTTTGAAGAACTATGTGAGTGGTATTTTTAATAAAGTTATGTTATAACGTTTTGATAAAGCTTTGTTTTGCCTTGTTTTGGAAAAGTATTTGTTAAGCATGAATAACTATCCCTATTTTGTGTGTCAAGTACTAGCCTTGGTTTTGATAAAACCTTTGAAAGTCCGTACGTGCTAGGGGGCTATAAGCATTTGTAGCACAACCTTTGAAAGTCCGTACGTGCTAAGGGACTATAAGCATTTGTAGCACAACCTTTGAAAGTTCGTACGTGCTAGGGGACTATAAGCATTTGTAGCACAACCTTTGAAAGTCCGTACGTGCTAGGGGACTATAAGCATTTGTAGCACAATCTTTGTTAATGTCATCCCTTGAAACTTGAAAGCCTTGAAAGACTTTGATTAATGAAGCTTGAAAGATTTATTAGATGAACTTGATTCATCCCATGTTTTGTTACAAGCTATGATTATGTATTGTTTTGTTAAAGATCTCGGATATCATGCATGCAAACCCTTTATTACTTGTACCATTCACTGAGTATCCAAGCTCGCCCTCTCTATATATATGTAGATGATGAGCAGGACAGCGGCGACACCTAGATGTGCTTTGCAACTTGTTTTGGATTCGCATTTTGTAGCATCTTGAAGATCATGCTTCTTGGCTTGCATTTCATTGTATTTTGTATATGATGGCTCAAGGAGCCTTTTGGTCAAGATGTATTTTTGTACTTCATTTTATCGTACTCAAGCTGTAAGACCTTGTTAAGATGTATGTCATTCCATTTGACTTATGCATAGCTCTTATGGACTAATTAGAATTGTATATATTGCTTCCGTACTTGTGAGCCCCATATATATATACTCTGATTGTATGTGAATTTTGGAAGATGGCCTTCGGTAGTCTCGGATTACTGGCCATCACGGCACCATTCTACTAGTGGCGGAATGGGGTTGTGACATAAGTTCTTCACATCTTTCAAAAGTAAAGCTTTTTGGTGTGATCCAAGATTGTATTTGGTGAGCTTCGGTGCGGATTCCAAAGCTGTTCGTTGCGTGGATTCGACAAAGCGGATGTCAAAGTGGAGATTGCGGAGATACTTGTAGAGTAAGCAAAGACGTGTGTCATAGAATGGACTCGTGCAGCTTGAATTGACTTTTGCAAGAGATCTCTTGTACTACCTTTTTTTCATAGTGGATTATTCGTCTGACCGAGTTCCTTAGTTTTTTATCACAAGTTGGTGTGGATTTCAATTGTGATTTTTCATGTAAAAAATCTTTTGTGTCATGGATGTATAATTTTCTCTTAATCTCTCTGTATTGATCATGGTTGCATAAATTTTTAATTTGGATAACCTAAATCAACAATCACTTATTACAGGACAAACCTAGATTTTCAAAAAGATTTTTCAATAAAACTAGATTTTTTTTCAAGATGCACACCGTGAGACCTAGAAAATTCTCTCATATAAATTGTTGAGGAAATTCATTGAAGATACGAGCATTCCCAAATGAAGGCAAAGATGAATATGGTCGGCGTCGCCCAATCGGGGTTTCCGGCCGGGGACACTCTGATAATGAAGTTAGTCACTTGAATCAAGGAAAGAATATGCAAAAATGAAGGGTGTTGTATGTGCTCTGTTGCAAAGAGATGAGACATACCTATATTCCTTGGGATGCCCTTATTTTATAGATGGGAGGTGTGATGTTTGTCATTTGGGCTTCCTTATTTAGGCTGGGCTCACTGTCTAGACTTATTTGGATTACCTCAAATAAGCTGATATTTTTGGACTCCCACACACCCTAAGTTTATGAGGAACCAAAGGTATGCTAGGAAGCATAACAAGAAGAATGGTTACTCTGCCACTGAGGAGGAGTAAATTGGAGATTGAGATATGTTTTTGTTGAATTACGAACAGTTTTGTTTGATTTAATTATGTTTAACTATGATGCTCTTTTATTAGCTTAATTTTTTTACTTACTTTTCGATAGTTCATGAAGCAACAATGGTTGCCAATTCAATATTTATAATTTGCAAGAAGGGTAATTTGTGAAAAAATATAGCGTGTATTGAGAATAAATTATAACCCTAAATAGTTTAATAAAGAGTACTGAGAAATAGGGTGTACTAAATAATTTTTTAGGTGCAAATAGAATCCTCCAAACAAATATGTTCCGATTAAATAGTTATCGATATTATGTTCCAATTAAGTTGCTAACGATATTCGACTGGCATGATTTTTGGTATGAACAATGTGTTCGACAAATTTACAATAAAAATGATTTGAATTATCAAACAACAATGTTAGGTAGCTCAAAATTTTGTGGCTCAAATGGCTCAAATCGCTCAAATGGCTCAAAACGACGTCGTTATGAGTGTAAAACGGCGTCGTTTTGGCAGGTTTTGACAGATTTGAACCATTTGAGCCACAAAATTTTGGGGTACCAAACATTTTTAATATTTTTTTTGGACATGCACCAGGTGTAATTACTCTCACTTTAAATTTTGACGACGTCAGACATATATTCCGTCACTGATGTCTGCTGCATCACCGCGCCTTTAGAAAATCAGCCCGTGCGTTCTGGTTCTGGATGTGTAGCTAATAAAAAATAATTGTAAATTATTATTTTGTAACCGTTTTATGCGTAGTAAAATTTGGGCCTTATCTTTAGTGTCCACTTCTTTCATAGTTTAGATGGGCCGCTTACTGATGGGCCTATCTCTAATGGGCTGCTGTGCCATATGTCTGGGCCTATTTTAATTATTCCTAATAAACATTAAATGGGCCTCATTGTTGTAATTGGGCCGTTGGTCTGTCTACCAATTACAGCCCATTTATCCATCTTAAACCTGCTCAGAAAACGAATTTATTAAGACACATAAATTCAATAAACTTGCATTTTTATTTAATCATAAAAATTTACATAAATATTTTCCCATCACCAATTGTTTACAAAATATGAAATTTCGTCGAGTACAATGGTCAGTGCGAGACAATAATTAACTACACTAATAATTCCAAACCTGGATAATTTGGTCCTCATCCTGCGTGCAATAAGCTGGGTAAATACAGTCTCCGAGAGGCTTCTGCGACTAGGGGCTGTCAGCCACGTATACATTGTCGTTGTAAACGTCCGGATTCCCAATGCTTTCCGGAGGTTGTAGTTGAACAGGCACTCTATCTGGTACATCCCCTCGTTGCCCGATCTGGAGAAGTCCACTGCTTTGAACCACATCGGGTTCGTCAAAGTGTCGTAGAAGACCCCTGACAGCGTCTTCTCTCTCCAATGGATGTGGTTCGATACATCCGTTGACGTGGAATAATGAACACCCGCATTGGAAGTGGAATATCTTCATGCGTTGGGCCTTCTTCTTCGCATTACGATGGCTCTTCTTGATTGGCTCTGGCGAACAGGGGCTCGTTGAGTGTGTAGAATTCTGCGTGTCGGATCGTCCACACTTTGAGCCCGGCGTGTTCATGTTTTTCCAAAAACTCTTTGTAACTGGAGTCCTCTCCGGGGTTGCATAATATAATACTTGAAATCCCGCCTGTTATTTTCTTTGGGCGGGCATATTTACAATTTGAAAAAAAATCCCGTTGCGCTTCAATAAACTCGCGCCAATGTTTCAAAAATTGTGGGGCCACATCATCGATTATGTTGTAGAAAGCGTCGTTCTTGTGGTCCCTCAGGTCGATGTGGCCAGAATAATAATTATGTGGTCCCAAAGACCGGGCCCAACATGTTTTCCCAATTCTAGATGGGCCTTCAATTATAATGCTCTTGGGCCTATGCGGTCTTTGGGCTTCGTCTCTTATATTGTCTGCAACCCATTGCTGTATTGCTGCTAGAACGACCCATACTGTGTCTGTAAATGGATGAACATACGGCAATGGGGGATTAAATGAAATCCGGTCATAATTTGATGACAATTTGTCATAATTTAACCAGAAACATTTTGGGTCGCCATTTCGTACCTCTGCTAGTGCTTCGTCTTTCGTGCCGGCTAAATGTACCTCCCAAGCCCGCCAATAGCCTCCGAGCAGCTGGTCGCTGCCGCGGGAAGCCGAGCTCATGTATCCATAGAGGGTGGCCAGAGCGGCGCCACCCCAATCATAATGCAGGATGTCCCGGACGTCCACTAGTGCGCTGAGAAGGCAGAGAGGCACGGTGTTCGCCTGGTCGGCGAAGATGGTCGTCCCGAACAGGAACATAAGGAAGCCGCGAGCATACCTCTCCACGTCCTCCTGAGTCATCTGCGCCTCCTCCTCCAACACGGGCTGAACCCTAAACTGGACCTCGAACTAGGAGTACCGCACAAAACCCGGACGAGCTAGAGGTGGCGCCTCACCCAGCAGATGGACCTGAGCGGCGGTCCACTCATCCATGTCAATGTCAAAGGGGATCGGATCACCCCCTACCCCGATGCCTGTGAGCATCGAGAAATCGTAAGGGGTCATCGTCATGTCCCCTGCTGTGGAGAAGTGAAACGAATCGGTGGTGTCCCACCACCTCTCCGCCAGAGCGGCAAGGAGAGGTCTGCATGTAGAAAGCCTGGAGAGTCCTCGGCAGAAGGCGCCGAAGCCCGCTCGGTCCACTATACGCCGGACTGCGTCAGGGAGCTCGTCGTACCACTCCCGAGTGCCAGTGTTTCCATACCCGCGGATGGTATGGGAATCCTCCTGTAAACAGAAAATAACAGTTGCAAGACAACATTCAAAATGCAGTTTTAAGAAGCATACAGATGTAGCATGCATGCAAGTTTAACAGATTTAAACAAATACCGGGTGCCACATTGTCTCCGGACTATTTGATTGGACTGAATTTATATCCTATATTTGTTTAGTCATGTGAATAGTACAAGTCATACACGGAGCTATGCTATTGTATGATTGTATGATTCAAATTATTGAGGGACTTATATGTACGTCTAATTAAGTAAATTTATTGTCTAATAGGTCCTATACTAATTAATGGCATTTTTCATCATACACTATTAAAACAATTTCCTAATTTTTATTTTTCAGTGATAGTTTAAAAATTTTGGCACAAAAAAGTCACAATTATAAGTTTTAACAACAATTTAAAAAAATCGTCACAAAAAAAAAATTACTAATTTTCAACTTCCAACAATAATTTAAAAAATTTGTCATAAAAAAAAAAGTCACTAATTGTCAATTTTTAGCGACATATATAAAAAAAATCACAAAAAATTATTTTTAGTGACAATTATTCTAAGACTTATTTTCAATAAAACTTTATGAAAATTAAGTCCAATTATTATGACCTATTGGTAGTTAAAAATTGTTTTCTATACAGATATATATTTATCAATTTATGGCCAAAAACAATATAAAAAAAGTTAATGAAAAAAAGTTTTAAAATGAGTTGATTTAGCGGTTGCTTAGGGTTGATTTTTTATAATTTTTAGTTTTTTGGCTTGTTTAAGAGTTTAAAAAGCTATACAGATATATATTTATCAATTTATGGCCAAAAATAATATAAAAAAAGTTAATGAA